ATTTTGCATTTTTTTTAATCACCTTCTATGCATCCCATAAGTCTATTCCCTGCCATGGTGATTTAGGCTTGTTTGATACTTAGTAAAACGGGAAAGCACAGTCCATAAAAAATGATAACAGCTATTAAGTTGCATTAAACACTATATAAACCAATATGCAGCAAATACCGTATTTTCCGGCGTATAAGACGACCCCCTGACTTTTCCAGTTAAAATACAGATATTTTTAGGAGGTAAGGGGCACAACAGGAGCTCGGAACCATAGTATAATTAACGATCCCTAAACTACACTCGGCGTATAAGACGACCCCCCCCTTAGGAGCAGAAATTTATGGTGTGAAAAGTCGTCTTATACGCCGGAAAATACGCTATACGGAAAAGTTTCCTGATGCTTCCAGCTTCTTAGTACAAGTTCAGTATCAATATTAATTATTTCACATTCTCAAATTTCTTGAACATATTTATAATGAAATAATATTACAAAATTGTCATTTTGGGAGGCTTGATCCAAGTATGTAAGTTCCCCAGACTTAGAATAATCTACCAAAATTGGTTAGCCTATAAACACCTTATATTTTTATTAAATTTAATTTGGAGGACATTGATATCCAAAAGCAAAGAACTGAAGTCTGTTCAGCATATATATTTTAGGAGTCATCCTCGGCTCAAAATCATTAGAGCAGTGAATAAAGTTTTCAGCAATTTATATTACTAAATACAACATACCTTTGCCTGAATAATATTTGCATCAAGCTTGTAAGTTTTTGCTCTAATTTGATATGAATGGACACAAGGCGTTAAAACGAATGGACTTCAAAATATCAAAGCTGTGTGGTGGAGTCCTTTTAGAATAGTAAGTGTATATAACTATCCTTCCTTGCATCTGATCGAAAGAAAAGCCAGAAATAAAGTAGGAATTTTTCCAGCTAACCCCTTTCAGTATAGCCTCTTAAGTCCATCCTATTTGAAATTAACTAGACAGCCCATTTCAGGACTTCCAATTGGTAGAGATATTCTGTTGTATAGGGATGCCGAACTATGACAGGGAAGGATTGGTTTCCTCAGGAAAGGCATCATATTGATAGTCGGCAGGCTGAAATCGGCGCTCGTCGACAGGTCATCTGAAGAAGGTTCATTTAATTGCGCGACTTTGGTATGCTGTGGTTGATTATAAAATTGAGAACCCGAACGAGGCTGATTTTTTGACTCCTGTTTACGACGCATCAGCCAGGCCGTAATTCGCTTTGAAGGACGATTTTCGCCCTGGAACCAAGTCATTACATCAATGCTGGGCAAGTTGTTAGCAACGCGAATCTCCTCTTCTTTCATGGCGGACTCATCCTCTGGGTCACCAACGCCCAAAGAGAAGTCGAGTTGCACTAATTGTGGACCTTTCATCCACAGTGTTAGGGCATCTACTGCCTCCTCTAGTGTATAGTGTACCTGCCAGAGGCGTTGGAACCGACCCTGGACGCAGTTGATAGAGTGTGTTACCGCTTGATGCGTTGAAAAGAGAACAAGATGGCAAGCTTGGCAAACGTATGTCTCCATGAGGGCAGATGGTTGGATGAGGAGGCGCTCATATTTGTCGTAACGCGGACAAGAGTGTACCAAAAGTGCTCGAAATTGTCGAAACATTTCTTTGCAGGCGCCACACATAAACTGTTGTTGCCGTGCTGGGAGGTAAGGGTTAGCGTGGGTTTCCAAGGTCCAACGTGTTAAGGCAAGCCTAACAAGCTTCGGTGTGTTGAGACGTACAAATGTGAATACAAGGTAGACGCATGATTTAAAGTGGTTAACAACGTCGTCAATAGAGAGGAATAGACAATGACACTGGTTGCAATAAAGGACCAATTCTAGTTGATACGGCGTTATCAGCCTCCCAGCCATGCAAGGATGGAAAAGGAACTCGTAGAGATTGGGCTGTTCGAAACCGCAGTGGGTGCAGCCGACTATTATCGGTTGAGTCTCTTTCTGATTCTCCTGGGCCGGCTGAGGAGCATGCTTATTTTTTGCCAACCCCTTTGCATCCACATCGCTTTCTGCTGATTCAGCCAAACAATGATCGAATTCGTAACAGTGTCTAGCCAGCACGAACTGTTGACAGACTATCTCAAATGTGGTAGGCCGAAGATCCAGACATTCCGCCTGACTAGGCTTGCAGCCCTCCAGATGCATGCTGAACTGAGACTGATCAAGAAATACACATTTGCAGTATGTGCAGGTTTTCAGACGCCGAACGATGGCAGGTTTAAGGAGAGTGAACTGAAAACACGAATGTAATAGATATTCCATTCGCCTCTTAAAGAAGTTCCCACAGCGTATACAACGCAATTGAAAGTCCCATTCGGGCTCATGACTTTTAGCCTCCCACTCAGTTCGGCGATGCCAATTTATGTAGAAATCAAAGTGATCCTTGTAGTCAATTGGCAAAACCTCCTCCACTTGTTGGAATCTTTTGATATTGCACAGTTTATGATCATTACACGAATGAGTATCATAGTCCGCATGTGAGTAAAAGACCATTCGACATGTTCGGCACCCAAAAGCTTGTGTTTCGGCCAGGTGAAATCGAGCCTGATAAAATTTACGCCAACAACAATGGGCTAGAAATTGAGTAAAATTATCAATTATCAGATAACAGTTGGGACATTGCATCTCCTTGAAGGCGCATTTGGGCAAATCGTTTTCTGTCCAAGTGCTTTTGCGTCTAACATTTTTTAGAACGGTTGGAAGTTGTTCAATTAAGTCGGGTGACTTTTTATGCTTTGGCGATCCATCTCTCTTCGGAGATGCACCCTTCTTGGGTGAGCCTTTATTTGCAGAGCCCTTGGCCGATGACGCTTTTCCTGGTGAACCTTTTCCCGGTGAACCTCCTTTTGGCATTCTTCTTAGATCCTAGTTAAATTGCTTAACTCTAATTCCCAAATGAATAAAACCCATCGCTTTCCATCAGCAAGCCAGAGCTGGCCGTATTAGCGCTTTTTTCGAATATCTTCTGAGAGCAGGCGTATTTTCCTGGCTATTGATTATGTCTAGTCGATTGGGTTTAAGAGAACTGAGTGCTTTTCGCTAACTAACTTCAAGAGTAAGCCCGCTAAGCTTATGCTCAATTTATTGCACATTTCTCTGTCTAATTTATGAAAAAGTTCTATGACCATATTTATATAATTTCCCTCAGCCATAGTTAGCCATAAAATAGAGCATTAAGTAATGCATTAACATGGATCAAACACTAGCAGGCTCATTCTCAAATAGAATAATATTGGTTTAATTACATGGATATAGCAGAGCCATTAAGGGTTTCGGAAAATTATCATTAATTCGCCCAAGATGAAGGCTAGACTTCACCTGCCAAATAGATTTACTGTGACTCGTATCTATCTGAACCTGACAATGATGCATGGGTCAGATCAGAGGCAAGCAGAGTAGTTAGTATATGAGTTGTATTCACCCCATTTAGTTTAACGTGATTAAGAACTGGAATTTCATTTTCCCCGTAATGATATGAGTAGAGCTAATGTTTTCCATTAAATTTCCCACAGCCTTGTTTACCCAAAAAGTGATATAATCCAGGATGGACAGCAAATTCGACCTCGCAGTCAAACCATGACACTGCCGCGTGTAAGCTCGACACATTAACTACTACGCCACATTTACAAGAGTGCACTTTGGTCACAGGACAGATATGAATTGCAAGGAATGTCAGGAATTTTCCATATGAGATACTGAGTTGGGATTGTGGATAAAGCAAATTTATATTTGCTATAGAGATCGAAGACATACCTTATTTATTCAGTGAGTAGATTTATGAAACAAGCAAAAAATAGGATACATGAGTTTTATTCACCCTATTTCGTTTAAGCTGATGAATGACGATAGTTTAATTTTCCCACAATGATATGAAAAGAGCTGATGTTTCCATTGAAGTTCGAATAAAGAGCCTTGATTTACCAAGAGGTGTTCTTATCCAGAGTGGACGGCAATTTCAATCTCACATAGGTCTTATCAACAGACCACAGTATGTGGTATGGAAAATGCCTGACATTCCTTGTAATTCACATCCACCCTGTCACCCAAGGGTAATCGTAGGAATGTGGTGAAGTACTTGACGTGTTGAGCGTACACACTGTATTGTCATGGTTCTACTCCTGATTGGGGTGTTTATAAGATCTATGTAAAGTCGAAACTTTCGTCCACTCTGGATGAGAACACTTTTGGGGAAGGCAAGGCTATGTGAAGTTCAGAAGAAACGACAGCTCTACACATATCATTGTGGGAAAAGTCAGCTACTAGTCCTTCATCACCTTGAACGAAATGAGGTGAATACAACTCATATATCTCTGATTTACTGGTAGTCTAGAAAACCGACTCACTTAGAGTAGTTAATAGTAGTTAGTTAGAATAGATAACCTTCGCACCAATGACGACAGGTTCAGCAAAGTCAAATTGATCTTCAATACTTATCAGCATTGTTATTATATCATTAAATACACGGTTCATTTTGCATCAAAATTAATATTCCCTAGGGATATTAACTTATCTCTTGGTCAATTTTAATATTTCTTAATTAGATGGTATCATAAATCATGGTTATTCTCAGGGCTTACAGGATTTTTTGCATGCGCATTTAAGTTGTCTATGATAAAATATATGAGATGTGTTCACTATATTTTATTTAAGGTGATGAATGACTGATAGTTGAATGTAATAGTATAACTTACGCTTCCATTGAATTCCATGAAGATTTCTTTCCCAACAGGTATTCTCATCTAGAGTGGACTGAACATACTAGCTCGCCTGAAATCGTCTAACCAACATTACAAGCTGGACTCGAACCATAACAATGCAATGTATAATCTGGACACGTTAACTATTAGGTAACATTGCCACTAGTGCCCTTGGGTCGCAGGGCAGATGTGAATTTCAAGGAAGGCCAGGCATTTTCCCATATCACATTTTGAGGTGGGATTGTAAATAAGGCAAAATAATATAAAATGTATTCACCCCATTTCGTTTAAAGTGATTACGGACTGGTAGAAGAATTGTCCAACAATAATATGAGTAGAGCTGCCGTTTCCATTCAATTTCACATGGCTTTCTTGCTTTTCCGAAAATTGTTCTCATTCAGGGAGGACTGCTGTTTCGGACTCGCTTAGGTCGAATGGCTATGTTAAATTAAATGGAACATAGCTCTACTCTTATCATTGTGGGAAAATTTTACTACCAGTACTTCAATACCTCAAACGAAATAGGGCGAATCCATCCGTTATAATTGATTTGCTGGTAGTTTTGTGACTCTACTTATATACGAAAAATAAGTAATATATTCAATGGTTATAGCAAAAATATGTTTGTTTCACGACAATCTCACCAAAGAATGTGATATGGGTTTCACGGTTCCATTCCCGCTGGGGATGCTTATACGACGTATTCGAGGTCGAAACTGCAGTCCACCCTGGATGACAACAACGTTTGGAATAGCAAGGATATGTGAAATTCAATGGAAACGTCAGCTATACTCATATCATTGTGGAAAAATTATACTACCAGTTCTTCATCACCTAAAACGAAATAGGGTGAACCTATTCATATAAATGACTAAATATTATAGGTATGAAGATAAACTTTGTTTCGATGAATCTCCTCAGATAACATTCTTAGGGGACCTTCATTTCCGATGAAAGTGCATGAAGAAGAGATTCGTTGCTCGATCTTACCAGATGACGACAGATAAATCTCTTTGTACTGCAGCCGATTGGCTTTTATATGATATTTATGTTGACGCAGTCCACGAGACTCCCTCCCTCGTTTTGGGTAAAAACGTGCTGAGCTTTCGTCCATCATATGATGGACATCATCAGAGCTAGGTGCCATTGTTGTAAAAGTCTCACGTTCTTTAGTGAGTGGGTCTAAGCACTACCGTTGGTACAGATCAAATTGATGATCTTTCTTTTGCGAACCATGACTAAGACTCTTCCACGTTTACCCCCAAGCGTAATGTCATTGTGCCTGTCTTTCATCGTCATGAGTTACAAATGTAGTGAAAACTTTAGATATAGTCAATACTTCAGATCTAGTTAATAGTTTGCTTTTATACAAGGCTTTTAGGCTATTTATATTGAAGCTAATATTATCACCTCTTGGCCAAACTCCTTGGGCCCTCTGATGCTGTGCAAGAGATGAAATTGTGGATTAGTAATAAATAAAAAGGAGGGGGGCTCTGAAGATTAAGGTCTGAAATATTCCAGTTATGTGTATAAAAGACCAATAAAGTTTTCTACATTTAAATATTGAAGATCGCTGTGTAATCTTGATCGATTAGGTAGGGCTTTTTAAGTATGATCTGAATAACACAGCACCTTAGCTAGTCAAATACTCTCTATTATCTAAGATTAACGGAGTTAAAAGTTTGCTTCCGCATGAATAATGTTTTTATAAATCGTCCAGTGAAATCTATTAGATCAATAATCCATCGATCCACAAGCAAAATGCATATAGCTTCAGTAAAGATTGATTGCAAGTCTGGTGGAATATTGTGCAAAGCTCTGGCAAATAGCTCGATTAACAATCTATGCCTCAGTAGCTGTCCCAAGATAAGATACTTATCAATTTTGATTCAAAGCAATCACTGTTCTTCTCTATTCATATCGAATAATATCAATATTATATATCTTACAAATTGACCTATGAAAGTGTGGGCTTAGGAACTAGCGTTTGTGTACGCCATGAAGTACAAATTACTTAAAGGGTACCCCTGGCTCAGTTATAGTGGCTGCATGAAGTTTAACTTGGACAAAGGTAGGCACTTGCTATGCGAAACTTCAGCAAATTTGCTTCTGAGTATATTACCTTTATCATGTATATTGCTTGAGAATTAATATAAAGAAGCCTTATACATTAATAGTTTTGACTCGACAGCTTGAATTTGGTTGTAACGATGATAGCTTGTCCTGATGATGTATGTCATATGACGGCCGAAATCTTAGCACAAAATCGCCTTTAAAGGCTGTTGGGTTAAAGAGTCGGAGCTGGCTGAGCACAGGGCAGAAACTAGACACGAGATCAAATGGTCTCAAACTTCTCGCTTTGCTGATTATGGCGTGTCTGCTGCTGGACATAAAATTATGGGAGCCATCAAAATAAACCGAATAGGTAATACATTAAATGTAAGTAATTCCAGTAAGAAGATAAGTAAAAATTACTTGTGTTTAATTAATAGACTCAAGCATAAAGAGGCTGTTGAGCCGCCTGCAAAAAAGAGGCGTCTCAATTACTATTTTCCTCTAAGGTGATGAAGGACTGGTAGTAGAATTTTCCCACAATGATATGAGTTTAGCTGACGTTTCCATTGAATTTCACATAGCCTTGCTTTCCCAAAAATTGTTCTCATCCAGGCACCAGTGGACTGCAGTTTCGACCTCGCATCGGTCTTATCAACACCCTCGGCGGGAGTCGAACCGCTTGACACGCTAACCACTCGGCTACACTGCCACGAGTAACCTTGAATCACAAAAGCTGTGCTCTTTTGGTGAATTTACCGTGGCGTCATCACACCTGCTGTTTGCCTTGCTCCCAT